TACAAGTGATTATACACTTATGCATGATGAACAACTTTATATTGCTTCTTGATTACACCAACACTTTTCTCATATCCATTATACTCTGACCCTCATTGGTGCTTATAAATTTTTAAATATCGTGTTCGATTAACTCAACAAAGAAAATGAAAGATACCACTCTAGAAAAAATAGCACAAGGAGAAGTTAGGGTTTACTTTTCCGCCCCATGCTCTCGACTCTCGTAATAATAAAGCTCAAACTCTCAAAGTTACTTTTATAAAATGTTTCATAATTTTTTAAGTTTATAGCCTATTGACATGTGTTTCAATTGAAACTTACAAATATTAAATATGATTAAAAGTTTAACTAAAATTAATATGTACCATTTATTATTGAGAAAAGGTTCAAACGATCATTTTGTTCTTTTATATATATCACCTAAGCTCTATACTAAAAAACAATCAATATGCATATTTACATTGTAGTTTGAAAATGCGAGCACTATGTTTTTTCTCTAAATAAAAGTACATTACAATAGCTATACTAAATTTTTTACAACTATATTGGCGGAGTATATGAAGTTGGACTCACGGCCCACATACTTATAATAAGACATCTTCGTGCCCAATAGGTGAAAATATTAATTTTCAGTTGGCCCCTCGTCCAATCGATGACACCATCATTACATAATCGAACTAACATTGACTTCAATCGATAACAACATTTCCTTCTAGGGACCCCTCATCGGCACGAAGGCATGTGCCCCTCAGATCATCACACTCCAGACATAAGTAACACTTCATGCCCGTTTTTTCATAGATTAGCATACACGTGTATAATGCATTTAATTTACATTACATTTGCTACCACTATAAATAACCCCTTTTTTGCAGTTCTAAGTGTTGAAATTCTCATTAATATCAAATACCTTCCTCTTAACATTTAATTTACCTTCTCTCTAGATCACAACCATTCATATTCTGATATCGCTATATTGTGGGTTTGTGGCATTACCAGAATTTAATTGTGGCAGTATACTAGCCATGATTGACAATTTTTTTTCAATCATGACAATATTCACCCATTTTTAAGGAATCAAAACACAATGTTTCTATTTAAGAATTTCAAATATTTTTACTTATATTTAGGACAACTTCTTGGAATACCATCAATATGTCCATTTTATCGATTTATGGTTTGCTATAAGCCTATAACTAGTAGTTTTTTGAAAAAAAATGGTTGGAAATAGGGAAACAGAATTATTTCTTACACTACGGGAGGCCATTTGAGAACAAACTGTAGCTAAAAAATTTACCGAAAGAAAATATATGACCGAGTTAACAAAAAGAGCTTAACATAAAAAAATGATGAAATTGGAAGTTACTTTTAATTGACTACTTTTCACTCTTCATCTCAAGTAGTATACTTTTTCTAGAGTGATAAAAGAAATTTACTTAAAAAATTGTGACAGTGTTTTGACAAATATGCGTCGTTTCATGCTTTTAGGTCTATTAAAATCTCAAATATCATGCACCGAATTAATTTTTGTTCTTTATTTGGTCTTTTTATTACCAATTATATATACTTCGTATTTGCGTATATTAATATATTGTCCATAATTTAGTACATATACAAAGATTATGTATAACTTCAGCCCAAAATTAAATACGTTCCCCATAGAGTCTGATCCACCGGAGTGAGGGCTTGGTCCATACGCCCTGGACAAAAAGCCCGCCAACTCCATATTTGCATCTCCTAGAACTTTACTCAAATTAAGAAAACCTTTCATGGACATTCCTCCCCAAATTAAAAAAGAAGCAAAAACAGGAAAAAATCCCAACCACCGGCAGAAAAAATGGATGTCCCGGAGGGCGACGGCTTCAACTGGCTTTTCGATCTGAGTAGGCTCGATGACATTCCCTTGTCCTGCGGGAACAATCTGTTTCTAGACCCGCCCTTTCAGTGGCCTTCTAATGCTTTATCCCCTCCCGCCCCTCCCAGGTCTCTTTTTTTCTTCCATCAATCTTATTAATTTTCATCCTAGTTCAAAATACTCAATGAAATCCCGTGAATGAATTGAGCATCAGCTTTATAAGATTTATGCTTCTTAAAATTAGTATCCTCCAATCCATTTATAACCACCAATATTTTTTTTCCCTGTTTATCATTTTTAAAAGAAAAATGAAACTCTAAAGATCATACCTTTGCTGTGTTCTGGATTTCCCCCGGTTCTATTTATCTTTTTTTCCTTTATAACCACCAATATTTTTTTTCTGTTTATTTTTATAAGAAAAATGAAACTCTAAAGATCGTACCTTTGTTGTGTTCTGGTTTTGCCCCTGTTTTTTACGTAGTATTTATCTTTTTTTCCTGGAGTATTAGTATGATTACTGTTTGCATACCTTAATTTGGAATGTGTTCTTACTAGAACTATGTTCACATTTCTTGCAATTTTTATCTGTACGTTGTTTCATTGGGTTAACCTTAGCTGTTTGAATAAAATTGAAGTAAAGTATGTTAATCAATTCCTTTGTGTGTTGAGTAAATTCAACCTTGTCTTCAATGATCCTTGACTCCAATACACCAAAAAAGCAGTGCAGGAAGCTCTTTGCTGTGAGGAATTTATGATATTACTATATCTCTTAATTTTTAAGAGTAAGATAGATGACCTTAGGATGGTTTAGTCTATATTTTGATAAACATAATGGCTCTGAAAATGGATAAAGGGGTTTTGTAAGATTATGATTACCTATTATGTCATGCCTTCATTTTTATGAAATCCCAAATATATGTATTGGTATATAAACTTATCCCTCCAAAACCTTCCATCCAAACTAAACCTGATTAAAAAGCTATCTTTTATTACTTGATCATTTGTGGTATTGCTTGTTATGTTGTAGTGTTGGGCATGATCAGTCGTGTAGCAACTTTGAAGGTTTAAAGGAATGCAACAGCAAAAAGAGGTAAAAGTTTTTTGTTTTCTGTTACAGTGCATCCAAGTATGATTTATTTCATTCCTGTTGTATTTATTTATTTTCATTTTTTCTTGAAATATTCCTCCCAAATTTCAGGGCGAGATCTGGGGCTTGTAGTGGAGCTGATTCTAAATCGCGAAAGGAGAAAATGCGAAGGGATAGGTTAAATGACCAGTATGTCTCCTCTCTCTCTCTGTTTCAATTTTTGTGTATATCTAGACTGTCCTTGTAAAAAAATTCGTCTAAGAATGCTTGAAGGATCACTATTCTTAAGGGTTTTTTTGGTTGGGAGAATTTTGAGGCTTTTACTATGTACTTCATAATTTATCTCTATTTGTATCACCTCAACCCCTCACTTTTGTGAAATTCTTAGAAAGCAAGTGTGCTTCAAAGAAAATGCATCTTGATGGTATGAGTAGTAGTGAGGTACTTTTAATTCTTTTTAAATTTTTCATTATTCCAATCTCAACTCGGTGCATTACAATCACCCTTGTTAGGAACACAACAGTCTTGTTGTGTCTTGATGCTTTTGGCTAGCCCTAGAGTCCTCCTCTATACTACTCTGATCAGCACGTGTTGCATGGTTTGTTTGGTACTACTTGTAAGTTGTAACACCCTATCCCTCATGGGATGGAGGTGGCTTCTTTTGCCCTGCACTCTAGGCTCTGTATTGTCCAGTACCCCAGTCATACCAACACAGTGTCTTTGGTGCAATGTGCATGCTTGCTTGTGAAATTTATCATCGTCTAACTGACAGTCTTAATGTTAGAATGCATTACTATTTACTATCATCGCCCCTCTCATCTAAAATCCATAAACTAAAAAAGGGCTTAGTGGATGTCATTTATGACTTATGAGAACCTGTATTTTTTGTTGCAAGGTTCCTAGAATTGAGTTCGGTATTGGACCCTGAGAGGCCTCCCAAAATGGACAAATCAGTCATATTGAGTGATGCTGTTAGAGTGATTCATCAGCTAAGGGATGAATCCCAGAAGCTGAAAGAGTCATTTGAGAATTTGCAGGAGCAGGTTATTGATTTAAAGGTGCGCCAGCCTTTAGTTTCATATTTTAACCTCACTGCTACTTTCTAGTCTTGAATGGGAACTGTTGCTCTTACAGGCTGAGAAGAATGAACTTAGGGATGAGAAGCAAAAGCTAAAAACAGAGAGAGATAAACTTGAGCAACAACTGAAAGCTTCCAGCTCTCATCCTGGGGTTTTGCCATATCCTCTTCCTACAGCCCATCAAATGGTTGGCAGCAAGATGGTTCCTTTTGTTGCCTACCCTGGAATTCAAATGGTGCATTTTGTGCCTTCTACTCATACATCAAAAGGCGATCCACCTCTCTCCCCAGTTGCTTAACTTCAATAGGGTTTATTCTTTGAGAATAAATCAAGGGTCTTATAGCCATTTGTTCATTTATTTTTAGAATTTGTTTATACTGTAGTTACTAGTTTTTTAATAATTAATGTGTATTTGAACATTAGAGGTATTTCACTTGGTATTAATGCATCTTGACTAAATAAATGAAAAAATTGCCGGATTTGAGCAATTGCATCACATGTATTATCCTTCTTAGATTTGACTTTACCTCCCATGTGTTTTTTCACATTCCTCAATACTATCCGTGAGGGATTTAGCTCTTCTCTACTTTGCAACTCATTCATTACATTGTATGCACGTAAGGGTGGACATGGGCCAGTTCCGGTTTGGTTGTGTATCTGGTCCCATGAAAGGAGTGACATAGTCATTTAAAAAAATTGCCAGTACTGGCTAGTATGATCCTATCTCAGAGCAACCGGAATTAGGCTGAAAATACATGCTTACCCGTAGAGGTTCAGATTATCAGTGCTTAATTGCTCCTAATGATGCAATTCAATATCTGAGTTTGTACTGTGGGATGAATTTTGAGTTGTTTAGAGGAAATAAACTACAGGAGGCAAAATCATACTACATACTTCGTATATCGCAAATAAATCAAGGTATACAAAGATCAATTTCAGGGGGGGGGGGGTAATAGCAAGCCAAATCTTATGGAATGAAGACATATCTAAGTAATGCAGTATCTATGTCTCATACTCATGTCTATGGTTCTTTAGTAATACAGGTTCACTTAAAGTGATTAAAAGCAAATCAATATTGTATCATACTTGTAGGGATTGGGTTGTTGTTAAGTAACCTAGCCTCATCTAGAAAGAATTATTAAATTGTTGATGTTAGTATGTTATTCGCTCATACGTTCTTCGATATACTAAGAGATCGAGTACTTTTCAGATCAGATTGATTAGCTTCAAACATGAGAAAACATTTGATTATAGGCTGAAAGTTCTACATTGGATTTATTCTTCTTCTGTAATACTCAATTCAACATGGAAGCTTGAACCCCATAGATTGCCCTCGTGTGTAATCTTTCCAGACACCAACAGCTCCAAGACTTGTTATCAAAACAGTGCTCAAAGCCATAACCGTTCCCACGGAGAAGACGATGATAGAAGCTCTCCCGTGCTTCTCTATGGCTCTCTGTACCACCACCAATCCTATAAGTGAGGCCACCAAACAAATGCTTGCAAAAATCATGGCGCTTTCTATATGCTCCATTCCCAGTAGTAGATACTGTGCCACTGACATGGTGGAGGAGAACAAGACCATGAATGAGCAGGTCGCAGCTGTGATCTTAAGTAAAAGAGAAACGGTTAGTTAGAAAACATGACCATCGCATATCTAGTGCATGTATTATATTTCGTAGGCTCAACTTTTTTTTTACCAACCACTAACTTATTAATTATGTTGACCTAATAAGCTCATAATGAAAAATAAGTAGCCATGTGCTTTCAATTGAGAGAAGGGGTTTGACACATCTCTAAAAACTTATAAAAGTGAATGAGAGTAAGGGTTCTTTGGGTATATGAAATGTGTTGGTGGTACAATAGAGCTAGATTGGATTGTGCATTCATTTTAAAACATTGTACCCCTTAAATTATATTCTAACTTTTCTTCCTTTAGTCTTCACCTCTTTAAACTTCCGTTAACTTTTCTTCAACCAGTGTACTCATTATTTTATACCGGTATTAATTCTCCATCTCCGTTAAACTAAAGCTCGAACCGTCTGTTGTCATCTCCGTTAAGTTTCTACAGCCCTCAATCGTCTCCTCAGCCTTTGCCGTTCCTGGCCTTCCCTATCATCATCCGTATAAAACAACTCTGTATAAATTAAGCCTCTTAAATTAGGTCGTATATATATATACGAAGTATATCTTTTCTCTTCCAACTCCACTCATCAGTCTTGTTCATTCCGTTTACTCGATCACTGGTGCTCTGGTGAGTTTCATTCCTTAATTTGGAAATTTTGGTGTATTTGATTATTTACTTTTACTTGATTGTAACCATTAATTGGTCAATTCACAATCAACTTCTAACGATTGATGTGGGAGTAGGAAACTAAACAGCAAAGTATGAACCGGAAGATATTGAGATCTATTGATTTAATGGATTTAGAGACTAAATTTTGTAAATACAAGCAACAAAATATTAGGAGGAGTTTTGGTTGGGATCAGGGGTCAAAAATGCAAGTTTTCTCTCAAAAAAAAGATTATTTTTGCAGTGTTATACCTTCTCAGTTTTTTATTCTTATTACTGATTTGGTTCTATAATCTTCCTCCCTAAGAAGCATCATTTTGGTTGAGGGTTGTTAGATGAACCATGATTTGATATCAAAATTTGTCTTCTTTTCACCTTATTGGTACAAGGTAAATGAATCTCGAAAATTAAATTTCAGATTTATATGTCATCATTTTAGACTAGGTTATACAGTATAAAATTTGAGATTTCATCAGATTTCTGAAAATGGTCAATTATCATATACTCCCTCCGTCTCATTTTACCTGTCCCACTTTCCTTTATGGGTCGTCCCAAAATAAGTGTCTCGTTTCCTTGGAATGAAAGCTATGGTCTACAATATTTCACTCTATTACACTCAAATTGCAACCACAACTTTTACTTTTTCAACCATTTCATTAATATATTGTGTCAACTCAAAGTAGGACACATAAAATGGGACGGAGGTAGTATCATAAATAGTTTTTTTTAATTGATTTGTTCTTTAATATGTGTAATCTACTTTTTCAAACTTAATTCTATGGTCGTTTTTATGGGAACCAATTGTTCTCCAAGGCATCCTGTTTAAGAAAAAATATCATTAGCTTTTTCTGGCAAAAGATTCAAGTTTTAGTGGAAGTGTTTATAATTGCCTTTATGTTCAAGTTTTTTTATTTAATAGTATGTTGGTTAATTTCCTAACAAAACAGTTTTGTAAATGGCAGGTAGCAATACACGTTTATCCTTCTAAAAACTGATTGTTACGCTCTTCTTATGGTCCTTCCATAGTTCACTATATTTGATCTCTTCTTTCTCGATATTGGTAGTTTTAAATTTAAACTATTAGGATGGAAGAATCTATTATTGAAATTGTGATTGGTTTTGCTGAAAATTGGCACATGATGAAGGAATAATTATTTAATTTGAGGTGTACTGAACATGAAAATTTCATTTTTAACCCAAGAATGTGGTTGTTGGGGTCACAGATGCTTTGACACCCATTACTATATTGTTAACTGTGGTGTATATGACACCCATCTTTGATTTAAGTATAAGGCTTAGCTCTGCTAAACTGCTTGTAAAATGAAACCCTCTCTTACTTTCTACTCATTGTGTATATGTGTTATACGTACCTATATAATTGCAATATATGGCGTCATTCAAGGTCGCTTAAAGAATGTAAGTTTGCAATAGGATGACAAGGTCATACTTTTGCTCAGAGTTGTGCACAAGTGGACTGTCCCTAAGACAGAAGGTTCTCCTGAGCCATATATGGTTACCCATAAATGGTTGAGATGGTTCTGTTGAATGAGATGGTTCTGAACCAAAAGGGGTAGCTTGCTTTTGTGGTTTAATCTCTGGGCCTCACATCTAGCAAAGCCCTCCCAGGCGAGAAGGTGTGTCGCCTGACTAATACTTATATCCTAAATATCTATACATTTAAAAACTGCACTTATAAGATTTTTTTGATAGGTTCTAATATAGCTTGGGTATAGCAACCACATATTAGCTTTTTCAGATAATTGTTGGATGGTTCCTTTTAATTGTAGTGTTTGTTTTCAGGGAATTCAAGAGTCCGACTCGCTAGCACATGTGAAGTCTTAATTTTCTTTGGCCTATGAGAGATCTTATTTTTCATACAAGTGTTTTTTTCTCATTAAACCAACTTTAAGCAAACTCCTTCAAAGATTTGATATCAAACATGTATAGCTTTTACGACAACCCTTTTTTTTCGTATAAAGATAATACAAATTCATATAAAATCAAATATTAAAAGGAAGTAGAGTTAAGGAATAATGATATGAAACCTTCTATGTGAATAAAGTTATTGGGGGATTTATTGATTCCGAATGTTCCATACTTAAATGATATTCCTTTCGTCACATTCAAAGGTTCTCATTTTTTTTTGTTGACGTTCCACTTAAAAGTTCCCCTTTTCTATTTTGGAAATTATTAACACTCTTAAATAACAATTTAATCATTAAAGGTTATTTCTCAAAACATACTCGAATTAGCATATTTAATTACTCCCTCCGTCCCATTGGACTTTGCCAACTTTCCCTTTTTTGTTGTCCCCAAAAAACTTTGCCACTTTCTTATTAAAGCAACTAATTTGTGGTTCTGCACATTTCTCTCTCCTCTGCACAAATCTCAACCCCACAATTTTTACTATTCTTATTTCTCACCTACTTTGCACTTGGCAAAGTCTACCGGGACGGAGGTAGTATTATCTAAATAACTGTTTCATTTTGCAATGGAAACTTTTGAATGGAACATAAGTAGTACTCCCTAACATATAGTGACTTTAGGTTTCTTTCTTTCATGTGACTATTGAAATTTACGATCTTTTCAGCTGTGGAAAATGGTGACCATTGAAATTTTAGTGAGTTCTATACTTCTATATCATCATTGGTCATGAAAGGCAATGTAAGTACCACAAAAAATCACATAAGACATGCTTCTCTGAAATAACAAACTGCTATTTAACAAAATTACAATACACCACATTTTAGGATACACTGTATGCATTGGGCACTATCCCCATCGCGCAACGCGCGTTACAAAACTAGTTCTTGCGATCTACAAAAATTGTGATTGTGATTGACTTTATAAAATAAGAATAAGATAGCCACAAAATACGATCAAATTTAGTATGAGACAAACGTTTTGGGATTGCCTAAAATAAAAAGATGAGACAAAAAAGGGAGAGAAGTAATACTCAAGGATCTTTTTCAACTACTTTTTAGAACTCAACAAAAATTTCTTTTGTAGAAGTAAATAAGATGAAAAGTTCTAAAATAGTACTATGAGGCTGTTTGGTGACCTTTTTTTGGCTTATCAGTCACCCTTTTGATCAAACACGTATTAATACGGAGTAAGAAAAAATAAAGAAATAAAGATGTGGTTACTTTTCTGACTGTATTGACTGAACTGATCGTAGGTGATCATTTTAGCTATTTTCATATACGAGTAATATAACTAACCGTTTAGATAATACTCGTATGAAATATTTTAAGTATAATGTTTTTATAAATCAGCAGAATCAACCAATACAGCCACTTCAATCAGAACTTTGTAAATTTCAGCAGAATCAACCAATTTAGCCAATTTCAGTATTACCAAACGGGCTCTATATCTTTCATTAAATAATACTCCGTAGTAAACTAGTGACATCCTAATACCATACAATCACATTTTGACATTTCCAACATTATGGAAGTACTAATGTCATAATTGACCGTTTTTCCAGGCATAACAACAATTACTCTTTTTTTTTTTTGAAAATTTTACTTTGTTTTTTACTCAAAATTTGAAATTCTACCATTTTAGACCCTGCCAACAAGCTCTTAGTATGGCTAGTGTTTACTGGAACCAGTGGAACATATAGTTGAAGGGTAAACTTACTTGAGGTGGGATTCCACGTTGGATGAGAAGGGGACTAATGAGCATTCCACCACCAATGCCAAACGCTCCGCCCAAAACCCCTGCCAATAGGGCCATCACTGGGAAAAGGAGCTTGTTTGGCTCTCCTCTCGTTGCACCACCTTCTTCGTCCTTCATAAAGAAATATTTTATTCTTGAAAGAAGACCAAGATTCCCTTTTTATGATTCTTGAGGCTCCATTTGGTTTGACAATGAAAAAGTAGGGTTGACTTTTCTATTTGGCTGAAATGAATGGGACCTCCGGAGTCCGGGCCGAACTTTTACGTATAGTAACAAAATTCAGTTGATTAATTCATTTCAGCCAAACACCCCATGCCAAACGAGCCCTGAATCAAAGAAGTTATCTTTTTGCCAAAAGGAAAACCATTTTAGTATTTTCCGTAGAAGATTGAAAACTTTCAATAGTAAACACCTGGTCTTTGGACGACGAACTCTGCCATCTTTGGTTGCTAAACAAGATCCATGTTGTTAAGCTCACAGCAAGAGGTATTTGAATTGATGAAATGATCCAATACACCACACCACAAGCTTCTATGTTAATAATTCCCTGCAAAACATTTATTTATCTAAAATGTAAAAGTAAAAATGATATCAAAACTTCATATTTAGGACCCCTTTGCTACCCAATTACGGAGTACTATTGATTGATAACCCATTTGAGCTTATCACCTTTATTGGCTTACAAAACACTCCCCGGTCCCATAAAATTTTCTTACTTACCATTTTGCAATGTCTCAAAAAAATTTGCATTTCCTTTTTTGGAAAGTTTTGCATAGCTAACATTCGTTTACATTTCCAAACGCGCCCATTTACCTTTTTCCTACTCAATCGTGGCTATTCATTTACCTTTTTCCTACTCAACCACGCCCATACATTTCCATTTTATTCTCACTTTTTTAATAAACGTGCCAAAATCAAATATGGAAGTATCTTTTGGGACAGAGGGGTAGTAAAATAATTAATAATCAAAATAAAGAAACTGATAATATATACTTATGTATTTAAATTGCTTAGTAAGTCAATTTTAACTTTTTCTCATACTACGTACGATTTTTTGTTATTTTATTATTAATACAATATAGCTCAATAAAATTATAATATAGCAAATGCAACCAATCAACCATTAATCTCGAGTTTGAACCACAATAATTTCACCAACCAATGCGGAATTTTTAGTTTTACTAAAAAGGCTTTTGATGAGTTTATTCAGCTAATGAATGGAGTAAATTGCATTTAACTTATTTATTATTGGGCTAGTACCAATTTTACCAATGTTTTTATTTCCTTCAATTCTTTAAGTAGGTTCAGTGAAATTACTCTTACCAAACGGATCCTTAGCGGTTAGCATGCAGAATATGTATACATACATACATGTCCATATCGGTTCCCGCGAAAAAGATGTAGGAGGAAGAAGCATATCCAGATCATAAGCAACATACCAAGCTTCATTATGTGGGTCCCCTTCCCCCTCAATTGATCATCTTCCCCACACGAACTCTCCTTATCCACCAACGCAGTCTCCATTTCTGGGCAGCCATTTCTGGTCTCTGACTCAATTTTCCAGTAAACAAATCCTGACTTGAAGGTGTTTACAGTGGACCAGACTAGAAAAACAGCAAAGGAAACAGTGATGAGCCAATCTGGGAAGACAACATTGCAGATCACTCCAATACTCACTCCCAACAGCATCGACGGCTCTGATAGTAAAGCTATGTCCAGATCTATCAGAACCTTTCCCCCACTCGGAATGAATGTGTTACAAACAACATTTGAAATTATTCCTCCTGTTACCATAAACGCCGAGAAACTCGTCGATGTTTTTAGGTCTAAGCCGGCAACGATGGTCAGAATCGGAATGTATAAACCTCCGCCGCCGATTCCGCCAGCACTTGAGATTGTGGCCGCGATGAAACAGAGGATTCCGGATGCCACGACCGGGGCACCGAGTTTCAGATTCCCGTCTTCGGATTTGCTCTGGGGTGCTCGGCCTGAATGGATTGAATTCAGGAACGGAACCGAATCGGGTAATTGTGGTAACGGATTTGAGTCTTCTGCATATGAAACATTGCAGAGGATCAGAAGCAATAGGCAAACCAGACATTTGAGGATACCGAAGAAATGCATTTTCTCGGGGGATAAGAAATGGGTGCGTTCTTGGGGAATTAAAGGGAGATACGGAGATGCAAGCGTGTACGGCATATGTTGCGGAAAGAGCGATAGCTCGCCACATGTCAGAATCCGCCATGAATTTGCTCCCATTATCATCATCCATAACAAAACAATGTGCACCTTAACACTGAAACATCCGGTTATTAGCGGTGAATGGGTTAATCCGTAATGAATGGGTTGAATTTCCTTAATCATAAACATTTAAAATACATTTTATAATAAGAATAGAAAAAATTTCATACATAATAACTAAAATAGAATAAATATATAGTATTAATAAAATAAATAAAAAATTATATGTAAAAATAGCTAAATTAGTCATCGAGAGTAACTTCAGCCAATACAGCCAGAAAAGTAACTTCAACCTTACTTTTTCTACTTATTACGCAATTCAGCGCGTGAAAGCAAAAGTTACGTGTTTGGTAAAAAAAAATTGGCCGATAAACCTGATAAGCCGAAAAACAGTATTGCCAAACGGGCTCTACATGTTCTCCTATACAAATATTTGACATATTCGGGTTTTAAAATCGAAATTGCACTAGATTACCTCGTGTATTACGCATTCCTTTAGGCCTTGTTTGGTTCAAAGGAGGAGAGGGAAGGGGGTGGAGTCAAGGAGGGAAGGGAAGGGAAGGGAAGAGGAAGGACGATTTTGATAAAAAATTGTGTTTGGTTGGAGGAAATAGGAGGAAAGATTTAATGAAAATATTTTCACAATTTATTTTTATTTGATAGCTTATTTAAAACACTAGATATATCTCTAACTATTGTGAATATTGCTCCTATGGTTATGAGTGCTTTTTTTTTTTAAATTTTTACTCTTTTAATTTTATAATTTTTTATTTTTTAAATTTTTAATTATATACTCCCTCCGGCCCGGTAAGATTGTCCCATATTAGCTTTTTGGTTCGTCCCACTAAGATTGTCCTATATCAAATTTGACAAAGTTTGTGTGATTCTAGATCATTCTTACTTTACTATTACTTTATCAATTTAATATCAATCACATAAACATCTTTTTGTTGGTTTGTGTGTCACTCCCCTTTGTCCCATTGTTAGGGGGACAGAGTTAGTAATTTTTTACTTTTTTAATTTTTTAAATTTTTTATTGTTTTGATTTTTTATTTTTTTATTTTTTAGTTTTTAATTTTTTTTAATATTTAAACTTTTTAATTTTTAAAATTTTCAATTTTTTAAAACTTTTTTTTACTTTTTTTTATATTATACTATCTCTGTCACGGTGGACTTTGCCAAGTGCAAAGTTCGTGAGAAATAAGAATAGTAAAAACCGTGTGGTTGAGATTTGTGCAGAGGAGCGCCGAGAGAGAATTGTGTAGAACCACAAATTACTTGCATTAATAGAAAAGTGACAAAGTTCTTTGGGACAACAAAAAAGGGAAAGTTGGCAAAGCCCAATGGGACGGAGGGAGTAACATTTTGTTCATTCACGTAGGAGATGGATAGTTTGTGACTTTGTGGTTATCAACACGTTTTCTCCGAAATACTCCGATTTGAGAGATTTAGAATAGGAGGAAGTGGAGGATTTTGGAAGCCTTCCACTTTCCCCTCTTTCTCTCCTATTTCCTTTAACCAAACACACACAAATCTATCACTTTCCTCTCCTCTCCTCCGAAACCCTCCAACCAAACAGGGCCTTAAAGACATACTGCGTTTATATCATGACTTCTTCCTCTAATAAATACGGAGTATAAAATATAAGAATGACATAATAAAAAATAATCAAAGAACTTAATTTGAGATATGAAATTAAAAAATAATTTAAAATAACTCAACACAAAAAACAAATGTCATGGTAGGCGCAAGCCCAAACCAAAATAAACAAACTTAGAGCCCGTTTGGTAGCACCAAAATCGGCTGTTTTGGCTGATTCTGCTGAAATTTATGATATTCTGGCTGGAGTGGCTGTTTTGGCTGATTCTGCTGATTTAAGAAAAAAATATTTTAAAAATATATTTTATTAATAAATTAAAGAAAAAATTATATGTAAAAATAGCTAAAATGGTCCTCTACAGTAACTTCAGCCAATACAGCCAGAAAAGTAACTACAACCTTACTTTTTCGGCTTATTACACAATTCAGCGCGCGAAAGTAAAAGTTACGTGTTTGGTGAAAAAGCTGGCTGATAAGCCTGATAAGCCGAAAACAGAGTTCTCCAAACGGGTTCTTATATTATTAAGGTAAAAAAGGCGTGAAAAAAATAAAAATCATTTATGCCGTTTCAATTCAGCTCTGACTCGACTCATGCTCGGTTTGAATTTGCTCATTAAATTGTATAGCTTCAAACTTGAATAAGATGTTTGAACTCCAATTCAAAATGAATTTTCCATTTTTGAAATCTTTTGATGTGCTATTTTTTTTAATTTAGGTATGCTCTAAATTTTCAAAAATAAAACATTCCTTTTTATCTCCAACCAAATTAGATAGCATCACAACAAATTTACCAGAGCAAAGGAACCAAGTTTTTGGTCTGTAATAACTTCAATAATGGAGAGAATTGAAACAATTTTGCTTCTTGTACATGTCAATGTGTATAATATACCCAATATAATTTTGTTTATGACACAAATTAATATAAAAAAAAAATATGTACGAAATAAAAATTTCAAATTTAAAATAAAATAGCACCAACACTAGCTAATTAAAATACATAGGGCAAATCCTGTCTTTGTAAGCTGCTGCGAGCATGCCATCTGTCCCAACCCCGACCCCACAGTTCGTATGCATCCTCTGCTTTCTCGACTTAAAAGAAGACCCCACCTTGAACCAGATCGTCGACGTCAAGTCCAGCCCGAAAACCACCAAACCCCGCGACGCGCCGGCCACCAGGCGCGTCCAGTGCTGACTACTCGCATTCAGCGCCGCCCCGGTGATCGACCCGGCGAAAACCGTCGTGTTCTTCGCCCCTTGATAGAACCGTCTCGGGAAAGAAGCGTTCCCGATCGTCTGGCCGTCGTAGGAAACCTTGACCAGAACGGCGTCGTAGTGGATCTTGATATTCTGGTTCGAGTTTCTCACCGTCACGTTGAAGGTAATAGTATGGGCATCTCTGCCGGCGCCGGCGCCGTTACCCAGGGCCGGAAAAGAGAAGTACTCGACCCGGACTCTGGGGCGGTGGGGCCGGAGGCTTATCCACAAAATGAATGCGATGAGGGCTATGACGAAGAGAAAGCCTAAGACGATTGCGATGATGAACTTGGAGAGTCTGGTGGTTAGGCTGTCTTTCACCTGGCGGAAGTAATAGCGGGCTATGTCACCGTGGGAACGGCCGGAGATTTTTATTGGTCGGACGGAGTTCGTTTCGCCGTCGGGTTTTGTAGGTGGGTTTTCCATTTTCCGGCGAGCTGGTTAATTGGTGTGGCGGTGGTTATGGAATATAATATACTCCGGAGGATTGATTTTACGTGGATTATATATTACAGTGGTGATGGAGATTGGCTAAGGTGACCGGCGTATCAAGCAATGCCGGAGGAATATAATGTTGAATCCCACCTGAAAGAAAAGAATATCGCCAGAAATTATACACTGTAACCAAATTAAACAATACTCGTTTCATTCATGTTTGAAAAAAATCATTTTCGATCAGACAGATATTCTTTTCACCATTTGGATGTTCATGCTCATCGCATGGTAATGAAGTGATGTTTTATTCTTGAGTAGTGTATGGTAATTGATATGTGTTTACTTGGACGGGTCCCAGACCAGATTAGACCAGACCAAACTTGGATAGTTATAAAAATACAAAGAAATCAGACTAGACCAGTTCAGACCAGACCAGATCAGATCAGACCAGACAAGCAAATTACAGTCCAAGTAAAAACATCATTAGTATACAACTCCAGGTTACATTTCAAGTTACACTCTATTTATTTACCTTCACATAGATAAAAAAAGTATAACTACATGCACTTTTTGACAAATTTGCTTATGTGAACAAAATTTGCTGCGTAAATAAAATTTGTCTGTAAACATGTTTGCGCACAGACAAAAATATATGTGCATAGACACTTTTATGCCTATACGGATATAAAAAGTCAAATTAATGTCTGTGTACATACATTGGTTTATGTGCAAATCAAATTAATTGATGTGTTTTTTTTGCAGAAAAGTTAATTAGATTAGATTGCGCGGAAATCAATGTATGTATTATACTGGCACTTTGTGTCTTTATACACACAAAAAGTGTTTAATTTGTGCACATACTCCCTTCGTCCTGGAATTTTTTCCCGAGGTTGACTTCACGGATTTTTTGAAAGGAAAACAAAATAAAAGTTGACTTTCCAAAAGTACCCTTGCATAGTAAAGAGGAGTAGTAGTCCAAATTAATTAAAGGATGTAAGTGAATAGTAAAAGTAAAGGTTAAATAGGTGCTTTGAAAGCAAAAACTTACCAAAGGTTGAAATAAAGAACAGCAGGAAGTTAATTTTGGAAATCCAAACAGAAAATGTGAAAGTTAATTTAGGGATTAAGGGAGTATGTTTTTGTATGTGCACATGCATGTTTATAGACAAGTTTGGTTCACACAGACAATTTTTTAAATTTTATATACATAATATTTGTATCATATGAAAGATCGTAAAAAAATATGAATTTTGTTATATTTTTTTTAATATAAAAAATATAGAAAAAATGAAAAAGTTATAATACTTCCAAGAAAATAGTACGAGTAGTTTTTTTATACAATGGGCCTCATGAAGTGATGGTACGTTTCTAATATAAAAATGTTGGTGTTCAGCAATAGTCTTTGAATTCGTCATGTGACATTTGTGTAGTAAAAGAGTGAATTGTGGGAAAAAACACATACGAGTTTTTTAGAGGGTAAAAATGTATTCTAATATGTCTATTGTTTTTTTATACGGTGTATATAAATAGATAGATATATACCCCTAATCAAATTAATTAATAGAGAAAATCTTATGATAGGTCCACCCACTTTTCACAACAAGTCAATCGAGTCTATATATTTTTTT